AGATGACAATAAACAAAAATGTATCAGTACTTGTACTGGTAAGTACTTGGACAAGTATCTGTACTTGTACTTGCAAAAATGGTATCGGTGCATCCCTTTATTTATATTTAGAAAAACAAAATCATACATTAAAACAGAGATGTACAAATCCCAGGAGCTCCGTGTGCTCCTGACAATTGGCAGCTGCCTCCTAACTTTTGAATTTTTCTCTAGTCTAGTCTTGGAGCTCGAAAAGTATCCGTACTTGTACTTGTACCAAGCACGGTACTTGGTATTGGTACATCCCTAGTGGTGATATATTACTTTTTTCCTCTCCTTTTGGGGGACCGGGGGGGCTGATAGCTGATCTATGTTAGAGGTTAAGTCTTATGGATCACAAGCAACTGAAATAGACATTTTTTTAAAAACCTTTTAATGTTTTTTAACTTTAACAATAATACAATTATTTCATCCTATCAACTGTGTGATTTGGTGCCTTAAAAACCTTTTTTTATATTTTTACACATACTTACAACTATGGGATGTGGCACAATTGGACAGAGGTATCACCAATGAGCTGTAATAATGTATTTTAAAGGCTAGGGTGAATGAGCGCGTGAGTTGACTTTATCCCAAACTGTAATTTGATGTCCATCGACAAAATTCTAACAGTGAATGTGGTCTTTATTCAAAATAAAATGACATTTCGAATGACTTTTGTTAGGTCTCTGATGGCATTATCAAATGTTGTGATGAGATTTTTGATATGAACGTTCGTACGAAAATCTACCAGTGCATGGCCAGCTTTACTCTGGAGGAATCATTGTAAGGAACCATTGTTCCAGGGTGGGTGACACATTATATAACATATCTACTGAAAGGGGGATCAATCTAAGCTCTGATCTTCGCTTTCAACAGAGATTGTGTAAGAAAATCTGGAGCCATTTGTTCACATGACCGCTCACCATGGGATCCCATGTAAGCAGAGTGTAAAGGGAAAGGCGATTTTACTTTAGGAATAGGTCCACTTTAATCCAAGGAATCTATAGCTGTACCATAAATAATGTTCCGAAATAAAGCACAATACAGTATAACAATAAACAGATAACAGGATTTATTACTACCATAGTTCAGTAGTAGTAACTTAGCTCAGTAGTGTTCACATTATGTTTCCTTCCCCTCAGGAAACAGCTATGCCAATAGAATGGTGTGTATGTGCACAAAAGAATAAAGGACCTGCTTCTTAGACACAGCTAGGGACATGTATAATACTAGGGCGAGCTATAAAAATGCAATTTCTATACTCTACCTAATATTTTGTTCCAAAGTACATACTTCAAAATTGTTCTCAAAATGAAATGTTGTACATGTTTTATTATTTGATGATGCAAATCATTTACAATCTTATACAATTTTAGAAAAGCATACATACCTCCTACCTGTCAGCCTGTGATAGTTTAAAGTAGGGATGCACTGATACCGTTTTTTTGGTATCAAGTACGAGTACCGATATTTTTTTCTCTGTACTTGCCTTATCACCAGGTGATGAGGAAGCATGGAGCCGGCAGGACCGGATTTACTCTCTCTGCTGCCCCAAGGCCAGGTTCCTTAATGCACCCCCTCCCTGCCATAGCCCCCCCCCCCCTTAATGGAGAATGGCAACCAGATGGCGGGGGTGGCAGGGTTGGTTTTATTTAATTTTTTTACATTTTCTTAATTTTTTTACCTAATCAAATTTTTTATTTAAATTTTGTTTTTTATTCTTTTGTAATATTTATTTATCTTATTATTTTTTACTTTTTGACCATTCAGAAGCCCTGGGATTGCTCCTGGGTTCTGCCATCTTGAATGCAATGTCAGCAGCTCCAGCTGACTCAGAACTAGTGACACTCTAGTATTCCCCTGCTCAAATGTTACATAGGAAGTTGAGGTGAGGGGCAGAGAAGCTAGGCCAGCACAGAGAGTAATTAGACGCTCTCAGAATAGTAGAGGGCTATAACATGCAAGGAGGAAGGGGTTCGTGTTAGGAAATTGACACCTAAAATAGTCAAATTTGCTAGCACGTTTGGAGGCACATTTCAAGTAAATAAAAAAAGTTTTCTGTGCTTTAACCTTCAATTTTATTCTAAGTTGGTGACAGGATCTTTTTAGTTAATTCATCCCTGTGTATGTGCTGTATTGATTAAATGTCAAATGACAAAAATGGGCAGGGGCGGAGCCATTGCCGATGTAGCTGCACCAGGGCTCAAGGCGGGGAGGGACCAATGATGGAATACGGGGCAGTGCAGGGTCCCTGGGGCCCGGGAGGAGGGGTCTCTGACAGGCTTCTGAGCACGGGGGTTGGAGTCCGAAGTGTTCCTGCTCGGACTCAAGGTCAATTCCCTAGCAACAGGGAGAGGATTGAGGAGAGCTGGGCGGGCAGTGCGCAGGTGCTGGGAGAACCGAAAAAAACTTGCACATGGGGTCTTTGTTCTTCAGGTTCGACACTGAGAATGGGACTTAAAAAGCCTGTACAAGCAATACAGAAGCATGTAATAAACACTATATGATGCAAAGTTGATGACGTCACTGCGCCTATACGGAGTGTTAATTTTTTTGGATAAGTGAAGCTAAAGGGCTATTATTAAACCCTCATGTTTTTTTGCATATATCTACTGCTAGCAAGCAGTAGATATATGCAAAAAGCTTTTTTTTTTTAAACCCACTTTAAAAGAGGTTAATACTTACCTGTGTCTTCCCACGCGCTCCCGTCCGAGAATGTGAAAATTCTCAGGCGGCCGCAAAGCATCTTGGGGCGGCCAGGAGACGAGGAGAGACACAAGGTAAGTATATGGACGCGTGCACCCGCATGCAGACACCGTGGGACAGGAAGTGCCAGCAAGGACAGAGGAGTCAGCGCTGGATCGGAGACCTGCAGCAGCGCTGGAGGGACAGATGAAAAGGACAGGAAAGAAGAAGATCGGATTAAGAAACATCATTTAAGGTAAGTGCTGACATTAACATTGGGGGAGGGAAAAAACTGTTTGCCTTTAATGTCACTTTAAAACAGATAAAACAGCAACATGGTGAATGTAGAACCCAATACCTTTTCTTTCTATTCTTGTTTTATATCGCCTGCACTACTGATCCTCCAAATGTTTTTTTTGTGTAAATTTTATTTGATTAAACTGGAGAAATAAATGTAAAAACTGTCAATTACTTAACAAATACTATCCCATAGCAGTCTTTAGAAAATGTGAGCCAGGGTTGACAAATAGCATATTAGGAGTCTCAAAAGAAAATGCAATGCCTCACTGTTTATCCTGTTGTGTCACAGGCAATAAGTGCACTTTGGACTTGTTTCACACAATCAGTATAACAAGATCAAACAGATGAGTGTTTTCGACATCTGAGCTTCTAGCAGCAAATCAGTATGAGTAGCCAGTGGCGGACCTAAGAAACAAAGGGCCCTGGTGCAAGATTTCTTTTGCCCCCCCCCCCCTCCTCCCCCCAAAACCCACAAACACAGCGCTCTCCTTCCGCAGCGCTCGGGCGGCTGTCACTTTCTCTCGCCCAGCGGGTAGAAAAGAAAGCACGGATGTGCCATTGTTTCGGCAGAAAAATTGCACTTTTGGCATTATGCCAAAAGTGCCATTTTCGCCCAATATGTTTTGGCGGCCGATATATGGTGCATCCCTAATATTTACAGCAATGCAGAATGGCACAGGCTATAGAGGACAACACATCCCAGCAATACTTTATATAACAATAGCATTTCTGTATAAAGTACTGCTGAGATTTGTAGTCCTCAGCAGGCGATTGGTTGTAAGTCATACAGCAATCGCCTGCTGTTAAAAGCGGTACCAAGAGCAGCCGTGTTCTTGTTTTAACCACTTCTGCGGGCCACCGTCTATAGACGTACTGCGGCCTGGAAGTGGTTAAAGTGACATTAAAGTAAAAAATGTTTATCTCTCCACCCAATGTTAATGTTAGCACTTACCTTCACTGATGTCTCTTAATCCGATCTTCTTTCCTGATGTTTTCATCTGACCCTCCAGCGGTGCGACGGGTGTCCGATCCAGCGCTGACTCCTCTGTCATTGCTGGCACTTCCTGTCCCACGGTGTCTGCATGCGGGTGCATGCGTCCATATACTTACCTTGCGTCTCTCCTCGTCTCCCGCCCGAAAATCCGAACTGCAAATGCAAGTTTCTTTGTGGCCGCCCGAGCATTTTCGGATTTTTGGACAGGAGCGTGCGGCGAAGACCGGGTAAGTTTAAACCGCGGCGTAATGGGCGCAATCGTCTTTTTTGCACGTATGCGCCCCCGACGCATGTATGCATGCGTGTATGTATGGGTGGGGACTTACTGATCCCTGGAACGACCGACAAGCGCAGACTCCCGTCTCTCAAGCTGTCAGAATATGCATACAGAGCGTGTCGGCATCTATTTAAACCGGCGTGCTGTGTGCAGCTTCTGAGAAGATACGCTATTTCATAGCGATGAAGCCTGCTGCGCATTTTGCATCGCTCCCGCTACGCTAATAGCGTATCTTCTCAGAAGCTGCACACTGTGCGCCGGTTTAAATACTAACAGCCATCAGATAATAAACATTTTGGGACCCTAATATAGTGGTTAGAACAGTCAGTATATGTAGCCATCATACAACCACTCATGGTTCTCCTGTGCAATATACTGTAAGTCTCCTTTCATATTTGTCCTTTAGCATATACAAAAAAATCTTATAAATATACACTCTGAAGCTGGCCATGCAGCAGTAGAATTTTACTCCAAAAATTTGATTTTGGAACGTTCGTTCGATTTTCAAATAGTTAATGTTAGTTAAGATTTAGTCAAATTAACGATAGTTTTCAACCAAAGTGCTGAACAAAATCAAAGGAGCTCTGATGGCATGAATTTTCATATACATGTCCGTGCGCTAATTTACCAGTGTATGGCCAGCTTTAGTTAGTAGGCATACGGCCAGCTTTAGAGTTGGCACCATAATCTTCTAAATTAATATTACAACTCATCCATTAGCATTCAAGAACAAAGCAAATGGCTGATTACTGCCAAAAGGATGATATAACCAGCTGTCAGTGTGGCACCTGTAAGAAATAAAAAAGGTCTTTTTAGTTACACTTTGTTGTTTTTGCATTCCTCAATAACATTTAATTTATTATTTAACTAATTTAAATGAGCTTCATTACTTTTTGAGTAATAGACATGCAACAAATCAGAAGTAAAAAGTCCTCAAACTTTACAACTGCACCATTTGGCTGGTGCAGCACCATTTTTCCACATGTGCACCATTTCCTGGGACATGTAGCCATCTGTACAGGCCTTTAAATTGGAAGTAAGATTAAAAAAAATAATACATTTTCGATCGGCAGGATTTCTGTAGCAGAAGAGACAGTGTAAGTCTCCTCTGCCATAAACGCTTCTTGTTGCCCTTCAGGATTTTTTTTCCTGTACACTTAGCCGTGCATGTGCAGCTCATTGCACTGGCACGGCATGCCGAGATGAAGCATCACCTCTGCGCATACGCTGGAGGTGATCTATATTGTTGGTTGGTGGGTACAAGAGCTATCTCTAATGTAGAAAAATCTTATGACATGTGGTTAAGTGATTTCCCCAATGTGGGGGAGGAGGACTGGGAGAATTGCTTGGAAACCCCAACCAAGGTGTCTCTGTGTGCGAAAGAAGCACCAAATTCAAACTTACTTTATTTATCCAAGATACCTATCCCCTCTCAGAATAGTTGAGTTTGAAGAGACATCCCTCGTCTTGTCCTAAATGTCACTTGTACTGTATGCTCCCTTTTCTTTTTTTACCTAATTTGGGCTTTCCCTGAAATGTGTACATGATTTAATGGTATCTCCGATCCCACTTACTCCCTAGGTATGTGTGTTGGGTATTCTACAAGACTTAAGCTGGCCATACACCTTACAGCTCGCGGTATACTGAGACGCCGCAGCCGGGACGGATCACGACTCTTTTGACGGGATCCGCCCAGCTGCGTGAGTGACAGCTGGCTCTGCCTATCTAGAGGCAGAGCCAGCTGTACCCGCCCCCTCCCCCGTCCGTTCCGCCAGTCAGCGCTGGCAGATCGGATCGGTGAGAGGGGAATGCAGCCCCTCCCCCTGTCACGGCAGAGAGCCGTGACAGGATCGAGAGGTGAGGGAATCCGGTATGTGTTCCCTCACCTCCCGTTCTACTGAGCCGACCTGTGACAGTCTCATTGTCACAGGTCGGCTTAGAACTATGAGATGAGTGGAAATCACTCATGTCATAGTTCTCCTTTAGGTTGCTCGCATTACTCCACCTCTCCCAGAATGCGGATTGATTAGAAACTAGGTAGAAATAAACAGAAGGAGGAGAACAAACGTCCTCTCTGAATTGATTTACTTTAACAAGGCAAAAACATATCTATCTATCTATCTATCTATCTATCTATCTATCTATCTATCTATCTATCTATCTATCTATCTATCTATCTATTTTGATGCTTAAAGGGCTAGTATATATATGTTTTCCTTTTTTTTTCACCTATGAAGTTTTTTAGAAAGGTAAACAATATTGAAAGGTACTTCGCCCTTTGCTTACCATTTGATACAGAAGTTAGACTGGTGGCTGTGGTTGTACTTTTTGTTGTCAGGTATTGTGTCCGGTTGCTGCTTACTCTGATGCCCTCTAGTGCTTGACTCAGGCTTTGCAGCTGAGAGGTATTGAGCAGTGCGCGTTGGGATTCTGTAACCATCGCTCCATTTCCAGGTCCTAGGTTAGATATATGCTCTGCTGAAAGCGTCTTAAGAAACCACAATATATGTTAGCTCATTGTTTCCATTTTCTGTGAAAGTATTAATTTGCCTAAGCTAGCAATTTGATTTCACTATTCACATAAATTGCAATGTGCAATGATACATATGTTGATACTACAACACGAGTAAAGGCTGAAATGCTATGTACAGTCATTTTTAAATATAATGTACCTTACGCAGAGAAGGGCACCATCATCCCTATGGCATTAAAGTGACAATCCCATTGCATATGACACTCTACAGTAAAATCAATTCGAGATTTGACAGGCATGGTGGTGAGAATTTTTTTACCAGGAAGATTTTAAGTAGCACAATAAGCATGTTCTATGCCAGGGAAGGGAATGTTCCTAGTCTCATGAGTATTTATACCAGTGTGAAATTATAGCTGCAGTTTTGCACAGGCACAATACAACGTATTTAACATCTAAACTCAAAAAGCAACTCAAAAAGTCCCTTGATGTGGTGGCTCCATTAGTTTTCTGGGTTTTTTTTATACCCTTTTTCCTTTATTTTCACCTGGTAATCCTGCCAGTAACACATTTTCTGACCTAGACTGTCAACACTGAATACTGTAGTTCCTCCAGGATAGGAAGCACATTAGGACCACAGAACACCTCTGCTTTCCTCATCTCCATAAACGAAGAGGAGGTATTCAGAAGAACACAGAGGGGATTGGGCAGAGCTGTTAATACTGCAGAGAGCCCAGTAACTTGCAAACTAATTGGATTGCTGGCAAGAGCAGCAGGTATTTATCGTACAGATATAACAACGCTCTTTAAATGGTATATTTAACACATCAAAAGGGAGCAAATAGAAAAAGAGATAATACAATGTCATTGTCAGGGTTTACATACACTGTAAATTATATATACACACACACACACACTGAGTGGCCAGATTATTATAACCACCTGACGTTTGTAGGCAAATTAGCTATAATTAGCTATAATTTGGCGCTGAAGTTGCTAGAGGGCCAGACCATTATAAATAGGGAAGCAGATTGTTAACCACGACAGTAGAAGTGATTTTTTTCTCTGAAGATATGGGTAAACAACGCGATTTAACAGCTTTGAACGTGGGATGATTGCTGGCAGTATGGCATTAACCTTGGGCCTATAGCCTTGAAATCTTCTTCACTTAATGCAGCTTTAAAATGTGAATAAAATAGAAATAATTGTTAGCGATCATCAACAAAATGTGATCTACACATTTTTTAGCCCTGACCCTGCAAAGTGTACTCTCATTTACTGTAATAACAGCATGTGCAATTTACTGACTAGGTACCATTAGTAAGAAAACCTGCTGTAAAATTCTGTTTTTCCAAGAATATTATATTAGCTAGAGGTCCTATACCTTGGGTGGTCTGTAAAATTACCTGCAATACAGCCTATATCATATAAAATATAATGGCTCCATGTTTCCACTTTTCCATAGACCAGTTCGGCCTGTTTTTTGAATGCTTGTAAAATGTCTGGGCTGCAAGGCAGGGATCCGAGCCTTGAAATAACAGATCTGGAAAACAAGGCTGATCATAAGTTTTGTATCATTATATGAAATCAATCAAGGTTAAAGTCCACCTATCATTTTAAACCACTGCTGTCATTAGGCAAGAGACAACCAGGGCTACACCTCAAAAGACGCTCACTGTGCTCCAGTTAAAGGCCCTGCTGGTGGAGGTGCAGGAGTGTTCAACAATTACCTCAATGAGTCAGTGAGGTGCAGTGATTGGTGACCTTTCCAATATATGTCCTTCTGCAGCCCCCACCACTGGGAATATCTATCAAACCATACCATATTAGTGCTATAATACCTCCTATGATGGAGACGCTGACTGCGGAACGCATTCAATTAAGCCACTGAAAATGATCTGTTGAAGATAACGGAAACGTCTGTCTTTGGATCATAATTTGGCATCTGAACTGTGTATAGAATCAATATATTGAGCAAGTGGCTATTGGGGGTACCCATTTGTATGGGGAGATGCAATGACCACTGGATATTTTAAATTGTAAGTTGGGATTTAACAAACTAGACTTTTTAAAGGTTTTATATGTGTCGGCACCTAAAAAACTCACAAAATGTTTATTTAATACTTCTTTTGAAGGCGTATGGCTCCTGAGATCACTCACCAATCCATCCTTATTGGATGCAACAGTTATTTCAAAGTTTTTATATTTACATGAAGAGTCTTTTTTAATGTCTTTTTTTTCTCTGTGAAGGTTTAAACTTATCCAGGTCATAGTATATTTTTTTGGGTTGGGATTCGTGAGCATTAAACAGAAGAGATATGGTAGAGACAAACAAGTAAGAAGGCAAAATTCAGGTGCAACAAAGGGCCTTTAGGATGAAGCAGAGATGATCAAATTGACAGTTTTCTGCCAACCATGCATGCTTATATATAGGCTCTGCCAATCAAGCCCCAACCCAAACCGTGATATTTTCCTTAAGATTACACCTCTTGCTAAAACCACATAAGTACAATGGTTTGTGAGTATTTACTAGCAGCTCTAAAAATTGGAATATTGAGCATTCACTGCAAAAGCACCACAGGAAACATTATACAGGTGCCCAGGGGTTTCTAAAAGACTTGGGGCACCCCTGGGCACCTAAACTAAAATCTTAAAGTGTTTGTAGTATATCAATTTAAAAAGTGCATGATGCTATTTCTCATTCCATATGACTAAACAAGAAAATGAATTGTATAATATTGTTTAAAAAAGAAGAAATAATAATGAAAAAGTTGATGAACCAAATTATGTTCCAAAACCATAAGTTACATATAATATCATTATTAATCAATGGTTTACTCTGGTTTAGTAAAAAATACATTTTATTGTGAGGTTCTGTTAAAATCCAAGATACCATGTTCTATAACCATCTACCCAACAGGTAAAAGCAGTTACTTGTGGCGGTAAAAATGGAAAGACTCCTGGGACACTCAATAGAAGACCTGCAACACGTGCCCTGGGCGCCAGGGTCTATCAATGGCCCTGCAAGTGCCCTATTTAATGTTATAAATCTATAAGGACATTCTAATTGTTCACCAATCACCACTGAGCATTTTGCCACACATTTCTCAAAGCATGACAATGTTCAACATAATGAATCCTATTATTTTTATTGTTCACACCTGAGAGTTGTGTCACACGTAGCTCCAAAAAGTACATGATTTTTGTTAGAATCGTGTTTTTGTATTTGAACAGTCTGAAAAATTTCCAAAAAATGCGTGTTTTGCACGATTTCATGCTTAACAACCATCTTCTCCTCTGAGTAACTAGCTCTCTATTGGTTAAAGCATGAACTTTTAAGCCTGAAAAGAAAATAATCAAAAACAATAATTCAAGATTGCTTAAAAACGCTCATGCTCGAGTGTGAGAAGTGTGAATGGGGGAGAACTAGTGTCAGCGTAGTCAGTGTTCCTGCATTGGAGCTTGCAGTGCAAACTGCTATTGGCAGACTAAATGGCGAGTCTGCTTCCTCTGCTGAGTGGTATGTAAATACTGTGTAGGTGTTTGAAACTGGAATAATCATGGTAAATGAGGATAATGACAATATAAGATCTAGAAAGTTTAAATGCACACAACACCCATGTGTCAGAGCGCTTTCACTCTTTAGTCAACTGGGGTTAACAAGAAGACATGAACACTCAATAAGTAAAACCATGTACAGTATTTTAATAATTAATTATTATTATTTTTTTAAGGCTGATGGAATTTATATACGGTATATGACAAGCCAGAGTTTTCCTTAAATTCCAAAGTCTAAACATGCAGTGGTAGTTGCATTCCTCAATGCAATTAACCATTCCTCAATAAACTATTTTTAAGAAAACCTACCGAAATTCCATAGGCTTGATCTGAACTATCTGCTCAGGTTTAGCAGCACACAAGCTTCGTCCCAGTCCTGCCAATTCAAAGCTCTTCAGGTCTCTAACTAATTTTCCTGAATCATTCAAGAACCCATGTAGTATGGACTTTGCCTGTAAAGGTAATAACATTAATATATTCAGAAAACCAACATAAGCAGAGTCCCCAGTTGACAAATTTAATAGGAAAACAAAAAAACAAAAACTTATAAATGCACACTTCTTTTTTTTTTTTTACAAATAAAGTTTTTTATTGGTTTACAAATGTAGAAGACATCTTCACATACATTTAGACCCCGTTCACATGTAGCGACATACCTTTGCAGCGGCCGGGATAGCGCGACTTTCGGGGCGACGTTCCAGCGATGGTAGCGCGACCTTCTCCGTCGGGCTCCATAGGAAAAAAGCAAAATCGCGCAAAATCCGCCGAAAAAAGGGTCCGGTAGAAGCGACTTGCGACCGCGACATGGAGTTAAGACAGCTCCATTGAATAGCATTGGCCGGCGACTTCTCGCGATATCGCGCTGCAAAAATGCGCGATATCGCGGCGGAAATCGCGCAATACGTCGCTACATGTGAACGGTGCCTTATACAAACAGTTGGTGTCAGTTCGAAAGGTACAAAACTGTTTGATACTCGTTACACAGACAGAAGAAATAGCGGTATTGCCGCTCAGCTATAGAGAGCACAGTAGTTTAACAGGTTGACAACTTCAGATGATATATGTACGTTTTAGACAGGTAAAATAGTGTTAATATTTTAGGTATAGAGTCCAACAGTGGGGCACTGGTATACAGCATACTTCTACCATGGTGTGTGGAGAAGGTTCCACCATTGTTTGATATGGCGTGTGCACAAAAAATGAAGCTCAATAAATGAAGCTCAAGGCTCTACTCGCAAAGGCGGTGGTAGCGCCCCAGCAGGTAGAGGGATGGCATGCACTTTAATCGGAACATACCCAGTAATTGCCCCCATTACGGGCATTCGAGCGTGTCAGACTGCGACACCCAACATGACTAACTGACAAAACAACAGGGGGAGAGGGAGACAAGGGAAGACAAAGGAGACAGGCAGAAGAGAAAAAAGGATGAGTGAGGGAGGTTTTCAGGTTGCACGTAGGTGGGATGCGTGTAGAAGGGTATCAGAAGTCAATTATATAACACAGAGTCGGCGCGAGGTGGGTGAGAAATGCACACTTCTTCTTAAAAGTAAAATATGCACTTGCTTTGGCTCCTGCAGACTCTTCCTCCCGTCCATGTGCGTACATCGGTATGAACATTCAGTAACATCGATGGGAGAAAGAATGAGTGGACTACATGTGCGCTGACATAATCTCCCTTGTATTTCATTGAGGATTCTGCTGCAGTGGCTGGTGGGAGTTGTTGAATCTCCATTCAGTGATCCTATTAAAGGATGACGTGACGTGTGCGCCAAATTTAAAAATGTAAACTAGCATACGGAGAGAGGAACCCCACCATTCATGTAAGAGGGATCCCTGGAACCTCTTTGATACTCATAATTATGACTCGTCCATAGGATGCCTTCTGTGATAACACACAGCCTGTCATCCCACCCTCTCCCATCCACCTGCATTCCCCTCCCTTTCTTCCCCTCCGTACATAGTTGGGTGAGAACACTCTCCTTATTTTCCTTTCCTTTTCTTCTCTGAGCTATACTCCTCACTGACTACAATACTCCTCTTGACATGTTGTCAAGGCAGTCTGTTTAGGAGCTCAATCTTTATTCCCATGCATATTTGAATTAGAATTAATGATTATCTTGCTCGCTTCCTTCAGACAGCTTCTACTGAAGTTTCAGAGAAAGAGTCCAAAAGGAAACAGCTTCTCCTGTGATCTCTCATTAGAAAACCCATAGGTATACCCTGTATAAAATATTTACTTCTAAAACAAAGTTAGTTTTTTACTGTATATATCAAAAATACTCACCTGTGCTTCAGTCCATATAGCCTGCTGGGTCAGTGCAGAAACAATGTCAATAGAATTTAAATCCAGCTGGTCTATTTCGTGGATATTCAGAGCCGTGACAATCTGTCCCAGTGCAGCAATATGGTAGCTCTTCCATTCTGAAAGTGGTCCCCAGAGCTGTATTGAAAAAAGAAAAATGCTATCCTAGATTTAATCGTCACAAATAATGCAGAGTTAATTGAGGACATTGTAATTGGGGAGACACTGGGCAATAGTGATCACAATGTGATTACTTTCAATATTGAATACAGGAAAGGGAAGCGGGCTGGTAGGACAAAAACCCTTAATTTCAGAAGGGCTAACTTTGATAAACTGCGCCACCTAGTGGGGGACATCAAATGGGAAAATTTATTTCATAAACTGAACTCGGACCAAAAGTGGGAATGTTTTAAAAACATATTACATATTGCCATTGCCAAATGTATACCGTTGGGTAATAAAAGTAAAAGATCACAAACAAAACCTGTATGGCTGAATAAAAATGTAAAGCATCACATAAAGGAAAAGCGAATGGCATTTATAAAATATAAGATCGAGGGGACAGCATTGGCGTTCCATACCTACAAAGAAAGCAATAAAAGATGCAAACTAGCAATACGGGCAGCTAAAATAGAGTGCGAAAAGCATATAAGCATTTTTGCAAAAAAAAAATAATAATTTTTTACCAATACATAAACAGTAAAAAGGGGAGAAAGGAGCAGATAGGCCCAATAAAGGACGTAAGCGGGAAGTTAGTCACAAAAGACAAGGAGAGGGCAAAAGTACTGAACACTTTTTCTCCTCAGTATACACTCAGGAGGGAAACGGGTTTGACATCTATGATGAAACACTTAGTTCATCACAAAATATAGCCAATTGGTTGACGGAAACCGGGATACAACAAAGACTTAATCTACTTAATGCAAATAAAACATTGGGACCGGATAATCTGCACCCCAAGATACTTAAGGAACTAAGCGCGGTTATAACAAGACCATTATTCATAATTTTTAAGGACTCTCTAATGACTGGTAGAGTTCCGAGTGATTGGCGCAGGGCTACGGTAGTTCCAATATTCAAAAAGGGGGCAAGATGCCAACCTGGGAATTACAGACCAGTTAGTCTTACATGGGTAGTTTGTAAACTGTTAGAGGGAATGATTAAGGACTATTGAGTAGAATTTGTTCAGACTAATGGTATAGTTAGTGATAATCAGCATGGGTTTAGGAAAGACCGTTCCTGTCAGACTAACCTACTGACTTTTTACAAGGGGGTAAGTAGGGTTCTGGATGGAGGGAGGGCTGTGGATGTGGTATATCTGGATTTCGTAAAAGCTTTTGATACGGTACCCTTATAAACGCTTACTATACAAGCTGAGGTCTATGGGCATAGATGGAAGGGTGTGTACATGGATAGAGAACTGGCTAAAGGAACGGGTACAGAGAGTATCAATAAATGGTGCCCTCTCAGACTGGGCTAGTGTCATTAGCGGTGTGCCTCAGGATTCTGTGCTGGGACCCATGCTATTCAACCTGTTTATTAACGGCATTGGGGACGAAGTAAACAGCGATATCTCAGTGTTTGCTGACGATACCAAAATTGGGAGGGTAATAGAAACAGACCAAGATACTATAACATTACAGGAGGACCTGGATAAAATAGGGGAGTGGGCATTAATGTGACAGATGAGGTTTAATGTCGATAAATGCAAAGTTATGCACTTTGGGATCAAAAATAAGCAAATGGGTTATACAATTATGGGTATGCCACTAGGAAAGTCGGAAATGGAGAAAGATTTGGGGGTCATTGTAGACCACAAACTGAATAATAGATTACAGTGCCAGGTTGCTGTAAGCAAAGCTAGTAGAATCCTGTCCTGCATCAAGAAGGGAATGTTTTGCAGGGACAGGTGTATAATTTTGCCACTTTACACATCACTGGTTCGGCCTCACCTGGAGTATGTGGTGCAGTTTTGGACACCGGTGCACAGAAGGGATGTCCTTGAGCTGGAGGGAGTCCAGCGGAGGGCAACCAAACTTATAAAGGGGATGGAGGACCAGAGCTATGAGACACGGCTACTAAATTGAAATATGTTCACGTTGGAAGTAAGGAGATTAAGGGGGATATGATTTTCATGTACAAGATGTTCTATAGTCATAGCAACATTAGCAACAAAATATTTAAGATTAATTCCGTAACAAAGACTAAACACAAAAAAAAAAAAATTCAAACACAAGGGGCGAAGGGGGTTCTTCTCAGTTCGCGCGGTTAGGGTCTGGAACTCGTTGCCACAAGCAGTGATTTCAGCAAATAGTGTGGAATCATTCAAGAAGCTTTAGGACGATTTCCTGAGAGACCGTAATATACAAGGGTACAGGTACTCTTAAGAATGAGATGCCTCAAGGACCTATACACACACACACACACACACAATAGGTTGGACTTGATTGACATATGTCTTTATTCAACCTCAAATACTATGTAACTATGTATAAAGAGGAACAATGGGCAAAATAAAAAAATAACATATATGCTAGAGTCTGTAACTAGAATTAGCACAGCATTTTTATTTTATTGAGTGCCCCTAGTGACATCATTTTTTAGCCAGTTGATCCTACCAGTAGATTTGTTAATATCCCACTTACTGTAATAGGGTGACAATGCTGTTCATTCTGCAGTAAAATCACACAGCAGCATTATCACCCTGTAGAAAGGGTAGTCTTAAACCCTACTCACACCTGAGCATTATGAAGCATGTCTTTGAAGCTTATACTGAAGTGCTTCAATACTCAACACTATGATTTCCATTACATTCAATGGTGCCCATTCACACCTGTGAGTACTGTTGCTTGAAGCTTGTTACTCGGAAAAGTACACAAGCATCTTTTGGGGCAGAGTTGCATGTTTTGGACCCAATAGACTTCATTAAGAATGTCTGAAAAATGCGCAAAGACACCTGTAATTCACAAGTTTTTGCATACATTTTCTTGCCACGTAACTAGCTTTCCATTGGCAAAAAAATAATTTAAAAAATACTCAAACCTGAAACACATGTAAAAAACAAAAATGCCTGTATAGACACTTAAAAAAGGGCCTGAAAAATGACAAAAATCCTCAGCTCAAGTGCAAATGGGGCCTTAGATGGACATGTGTTTTTTTTTTTTTAAAGGTGATCTATTTATGGATATTTTTCAGTACAAGACAGAACAGAGCAAATAGGTAAAAAGTAAAGTTGGGCATTGAAGCTACAAGAGTCTATGTGGACTTGTGTATTTCACTCGTTCTCACGTTCATACACTGATCTCTGCATACCCCCCCCCAAAAAAAAATAAGACAAACACTATTTATTATAAAGAGGTCAAATACAGTAACACACTTTCAGCAAATCTTAGTTACCGTATTTTGCGGTCCATAAGACGCACCGGACCATAGGACGCAGGGAGGTCCGGCGCGCCTTATGGAGCACTCGAGACTGTAGCTTCTGTCACAGCTTCTATGACAGAAGCTGTGACAGAAGCTGCAGTTAGTGACCGCTGAGACAGGTGGCGCTGTGATTACAGCGCCACGGTCTCAGTGATGACACAGAGCAGGCGAAGAACGTCTATTCTTCGTCTGCTCTATGGTTATCTCGATCGTCGCCGCTGCTCGGTTTTAATACGAGTGATCTCATTAGATCACTCGTATTAAACGAGCAGTGGCTCCTGCTGCTGAACTCGATCGCCGCCGCCGCTGCTCGGCTTTAATACGAGTGATCTCGTTAGATCACTCGTATTAAACGAGCAGTGGCTCCTACTACTCGCCCAGCGCCCGAAACTGCATGTCTCGGGCGTCGGGATTCGCTCCATAAGACGCAGGCACTTTTTCCCCCTCCTTTTGGGGGGAAAAAAGTGCGTCTTATGGAGCGAAAAATACGGTACTTTAATTGTTTCAAAACCAAAGCTGGGTATACACAGCTAGAGTTTCATATGAACATTTGTAGGAAAAATCTCATAATAACATTCGATAATGCAATCAGAGACTTGATGAATGTCGTCAGAAATTTTTAAACCAAAACATTAAATTTTGGAACCAATGGAAATTCTCAACTGCAATTCCATTCATTCATTCGAGAAGAATTTTCCATCCTGCCTCTTCAATTTCTTTTGACCCCAATAAATATTAGAAAATGAAATGAATGTTCCAGAAATGACCTTTTCAAACTAAAGTCGAACCGTGTATACCCACCTAGCTTTATACTAGGTTAGGAATCGCTATTAACCTTTGCCCCCAAATGTTTTCAAACTTGTTTGGGCATGCCCGATTATATAGTTATATAATATAAGAGGTATATAATATAATATAATAATTAGTAGTAATAATAATAATAGTTAGGTAATATAGAGTTATTAGTATTTAGGTAAAACATCAGTGATACGACTAACAAAGGTTTTTTATGTCTGGAGTTGCTTGGTCCTTCTGGACATGTAGATTGAAAATGGCTTCAGGTAAGCAATAAATAAATAAATTCCACCCGGAGATAAAAAAATTAAAACCATTACAGAAACAGTTTTCTTTTCTTATCGAAAGAAGGTTTAAACCATCTGAATAAAAGTGGACCACTGCAAGTTCCCTTGCCAGTGTAAAATTGTGTGGTCCAACTCCCATAAATCTCACTTTTGCTGAACAGTTTGGCCTGTTCCAGCAAGTTAATATGTTTTCTTTTATTTTACACATAATTCAACATTAATCGTTTTTTTCAGCATACATAAAGGTAATCGTGCTGTGGAATATAAATCTCATCTCAGTGATATCAAACACATATGCGCATTTCACAAAGGTACCAGTTTTCCTTTATCCTTCAGAACAGACAGCTGAGATTGATTGAAGCGTCTCAAACCACCAAGGATGTGTACAGTTTTGGCAAAGGTTTCCATGCTCATACACTGCAACTCCTTTGGCAACCATAAGGAATTGGCTTCTCCCAGTAGGGTGATGGTATAAGCAGACAGTGCTGTTGTGTCCATACACTCTGCACCTAAGGCATAAAATTCTACAATTAGATCTGTATGTTGCTGACTTACCTACATAAGTAGTACGAGTTAAAAAAAGAGCACAAACATTTAAAGACCTCCTTAGAAACGTACACGTTCACTATGGGTAGCAGGCAGCATTTGTTTAAAATTGGAGTTACCTCTGCAATGTTCTGGAGTTCCTATGTAGACCTCTTCATAAGCACTCTGTGGTTCATTTAGGACACTCATTAGTCATATAGTAAAACTGTCACGAGAAAATACCACGGCTGCCATTGCTGACCTAGTTGCCTCGACTGTTATGTTCATCCACTAGTTTTAGTTCTTTTTATGTCACTGCCCTGGAGCAAGTATGCAGGTCAGGAAAGTCAGATTCCTTGTCTGCACACCTGAGCCACTGTCTCGAAGTATTGAAGGCAGATGATCATCATGACAGCCAGACAGCTAGCATTTCAAGGAGAAGAGTAAATATTGGCAGCTCACATGTTTCGTTAATGAAATCGTCATGAGAGAAATAAGAGGGCTGTCGAAGCTGACCTCTGAAAGTTTCCTAGCAGTTAGGCTGATGTATTCAATGCTTTCCGAGTAACTAATCATGAAACATGTATGAAGATAGAGAAAACCAGAATGAAATCAAAAGTCCTGTATATATACACACACATCATATTTCCCAAGGTTATGAAATAAGAAAAGAGGACACTTTCCAGCACAATGTATTCAGGCAATGGACTCACCCCTGCCACCTGGTTATGGGCCACTAAAAATTGATATGCCAATAATGTTTGGGTATACCCGGAACAGTTTTTTCCACTATTAATTTTTCTTTATACTTGCTTTCTGAAATAGCAACAGTATAATTATGAGATGAGATAAAGGTTTTAGTTCAGTATACCGTATATACTCGAGTATAAGCCGACCCGAATATAAGCCGAACGTATATACGGTAACACTTTTGGTAACCCCCTTAGTGAAATTTGTTTTGCTCTGGGGACCGAAGCAATTTTGCCATTTTTGCTTTGGTTTGTTTAACCATAATTTCCATCTTCCTCATGCATTGCACCAACACATATTATATACCATTTTTTAAATGACAAAATGGGCTTTCATTTGATGTGACATATCCATTTATCAATTCTTATTTTTTTTTATTAAACAAATTTAAAAAATGCAAATAGATTGAAAAAAACCCACATTTTTCACAGTGTTGGCAATAATAATGTGTACATAATTAGTGTAGCTAACAGAAAGTAATTCATAATACATTATTTTCTTTGTCCTATGTCTGGGATTTCAGTTTATTTTGGGAGTTATAGGTCACAAAATACAAGGAGTGAAATACAATTTTAGTGTGGAACAATTTTAGAATGTGGTGTGTTTGATTCCTATCTATCTCTGAGCAGAATACAGTATTCTGCTCAGAGATACTTTGTGTCACTTTGTAACATACAGCCGGCTAGCAGTTTACAAAACACATTGAGCTGCTGCCGGCTCTGTGACTGTCACTGCTCAACGTTCACAGCAATCAGCTCTCGCTGTGATCACATCTAGGTCAAAATTGCTGATTTGGAAAAAAATTCTCCAATTCAGCTCACTTTCCAGTTCAGCTATGTTGTCCTATATTATTCACTTCTCCTGCCTTCTCCAAACACTTCACTCTTTAGTGAATAGAACTGTATGTCTGTGACAGTGATACTGTAATGAAGCCAGAGGGCTGTGTTTTAAAGGGCAATGTCAGTGCTGCGTCTGGCAGTTTTTAACAGTTTTCTCTGCATGTGCTCCTAATGCACACAGATGAATGGACACTTTTCTTTCCTGTTTGCAAATACTATAAGGAGCACATACATACAGAGCACATAATTTATCATTATTGTGAAATGTTGCATGCATCCTATTTTTTTCTCTGGTTAACAATAATGCTTGTCTGATAACATTTCAGCAGTCTGCACTGCCAAAAAATTGACAGCATCTGTTACATTTTGAATCCTAAAGGCAATCAGTTCAAGTACTTAAACTGTCATAAACATCCTGAGAATAGTGCATGTTTTCCAGCACTCTTAATGGCAACCTTTCTCAACCAGGGATCTATGGAACCCTAGGGTTCCTCCAGAGGTTGCTGGGGGTTCCAATTTCTGCCTCTCATATAAGTAACCACTGACTCCAATGATCTTTTAAGCTTTCGGTAAGGGGAGCATTCTTCCTATTGAGCACTAGTCTAATGGGGCCCCTCTCGTAATGACCACCAATATAAGGAGGCTCTTCTTCACTGACCACTAATGAAAGAAGACACTTTACTGACTACCAATATGAGGAAACAATCTTCACTGTCTGCGGGTTTTTCTTGCTATTATTACATATCACTATTATTATGTCATTCATAATTTAATTATTATTACTGAAAATCATTAGTAGGGGTTCATTGAGATCTGAAAGTTATTTGAGGTGTTACTCCTTTGTAAAAAAGGTAGTGAAAGGCTACTTTGCAGGTTCATAGGTGAAATAATTAGTATGTTACTTTGAAATCATTACCAATTAATATACTTGTGCCCCTAGAAATTCCCCAAAATCTGACTTGATAGTGGCAATTATGGAAAGTACAAGAAACACTGGGGCTGATTTAAAACATTAGAGCATAAAAACTAGGTCAAAAGAGGAATGGCGACCAAGGGCCACCAACTTGATTTTTCTTTTATTTTCTGGCAATGATCAATTGGTTGTTGTGGGAAACAACTTGCCTTTTGTTCTTTCTTCCTTACAGCCTTCATAAAGCCACCCGCATATGCAGTCCACAATCTAACCTGTCAGGTTTTTAATGCCCTTTGGTTACCCATCAGGGATCCCCCCCCCCCATTTGTCCTGGTGACTGTTATCACCGAAAGTGAAATCTTGGGTTGTCACAGAACAGAACTAGATGGGAAATCTTCCAATGACACTAGTTCTGGTGACCCTGCTGGCCACCAGGGAATTCCCTTACTTTGGATGGATTTACCCTCACTTCCTGTTGTGGCTATTGGACAAGAAGTGAAGTGAAATCTACCTAATGGGACACAGATGGCAGAAAACCTTCCCTTACTCTATCCGCAATGAAAACAACATTTTGGTTTCAGTTCTACTTTAATGTACAGGTGTGGGTATCAGAGTAGGGAGTGGGAATTTGTACCGGCTCTTTAGTTGTGGTACAACAGTGGTCAGGAGAAGTTTTCTAATCTGCTTGATGGACTGTTTCTTCCAGCCATGTCAGGGTCTCCCACAGACATGAGATCATTGCCCAGACTGAGGAAAATAAAAACAGAATGTTCTCTACCTTTTCCATCCAATACAGTCCCTTGGAACACTGGAGCACAACCAAACTCGCATCAGCTTTCTGAATCCAAATGATAGAAAAGGTGTGCACATGGATCCAATATATATTCTTCTTTATTTCATCTAGGCATGATAAACATGAAATGCATTTCAACCTAAGTGGTGCCATGTTGTCATACTTGGTTTTTATGCCTCGATTGAATAAAGAAGAATTTATATTGGATCCGTGGCTGTGTGCAGACCTAGAGTGGCTCACTTCTACCTTTAGGACTCCTGCTCAAATACATATTTATATGTTTCCCTTCTCCTTTTTAAGGTAACTGTCCCCTAAGCTGGCCATACATCTATTGTTTTGTCTTATTAAAGCACCTGTTTAAGAGAGTGGATTAAGGGATCCCCCCCATGACACTATTGTTTTCTGACAATGGTGGGGATGCTGCCAGAATACCCAAACAGTGACTGCAGCTGATGTCATTGAATTTCGGGCTTTTGTCGAACAGAGGGGTGTCAGGGGGCCACACATTGCTCAAAATGTCATCAAGACGCAGACAAAATTTGAGCAGTGTATGTCCAGCTTTACATCTGCCAGCCAAATCTCAGGCTAGGTCATTAGTACAACAACTTTCTTTAGGTCTGAATAGTTCATTCCATCCAGTGTATGAAAAACATGTTTCAAAAAGGGGCTTTTGAATGCTGGAGGGAATAAAAGAAACGGTGCTATTATGTCTGCAGAATGTGAATATTCTCCAAGATAAAAAATCTTTTACCTGCAGGTACAGAATCATTGGTACCATGTAACCAAATGGCATTGTGTAAGGCTGATAGCATCTCATCACCTTGAGGAATTTCTGCTGCCTCTAATACCATCCGTGGTGCTAAACTCTGAAACTGTTTACAAGGTCTCGTCAGTAATCTTATATTTGTACAATCTAAGAGAATATCACATTTAGCAGCAGTTAGTAGCGAAAGTGGAATCTATTTTAGTTACCTACTGATGACAGTCACAGCCCAGGCACATGCATTTGATCACACCAAAAAGTAAGAATGTTTCTACCTCAAAATGCAACAGAAAAAAAACCTAAGCCCACTATAGATATAGCAAAAATGTGAGAAAACTTTAACTAACCTATATAGGCACTCAGTACTGGAGTTGTATGGAATATTGTAGAAAAGGCATCCCTTTCACCGTGCAAGTTCAGTAAAATAGGATTTAAGGTGGACCTTGCACTATCAAGCATGTACAATTCCCCTAGAATGGCCTGTGAACAGATGCAGGCAGGGCTAGCTGTCATTGTTTTGTATATAGTACAATGACAGCTGTAGTCTCACAGACGTATCATGTAAAGGGGGCCCTGCAGGAATCGGCCGCAATTTGAACTGTGTATGGACAACTTTAGTCTACCCAGAAGGATTCATTTATGTATAGTCAACCAGGGTTAAATCCCCCAAGTACTGCTGTTTGTGACCCCAGGAGGAGGTCACTGCTCTCCACATGGAATATGTTAAGAATGCCCTCCAATGAGAAGAACTAGGAAAAAGGTTTAGCTAACAGCAGAGTCAGTGGTGGACTTAAGGAACAAAGGGCCCGGGGGCAAGGGGGGGTGGGGGAGGGGGGCAGGAGTGGATCATGCTGGCCCCCCACCCGGGGGTCTCTGCACCAGAAGAGCTTACACTCCCCCCACAGTCTCACACTATTATTATTATTACACATTTATATAGCTGACATATAACACAGTGCTGTACAGAGAACACTGATCCGGTTACATCAGTCTTTGTACAGAGGAGCTTGCACTCTAATGTTGCAGTATCGCACTGGACTTTGGACTTATAACGCACTGGACTCTGGGCTTAGCAACGCCCTGGACTCTGGGCTTAGCAACGCCCTGGACTCTGGGCTTAGCAACGCCCTGGACTCTGGGCTTAGCAACGCCCTGGACTCTGGGCTTAGCAACGCCCTGGACTCTGGGCTTAGCAACGCCCTGGACCCTGGGCTTAGCAACGCCCTGTACACTGGGCTTAGCAACGCCCTGGACACTGGGCTTAGCAACGCTTAGCAACGCACTGGACTCTGGGCTTAGCAACGCACTGGACTCTGGGCTTAACAACGCACTGGACTCTGGGCTTAACAACGCACTGGACTCTGGGCTTAACAACGCACTGGACTCTGGGCTTAACAACGCCAAGTGGGGACTCAGGACTTACCTGAGACCGCACAGAGCACACGAGAGTGACCCTGCAGAGCCCGCAACAGATCCTGCACAGCCTGAGACTCTCTATGGTGGGCTCTGCAGGGTCTCAGGTGTGCTGGTCGCCAAGGTCTTTTCCTGCACCTCCTCCCAACTCCTGTTACCTGCTGCTGCTGGGGACTGGCCTCCTCCACCCCCTCCTCTGTCACATCTGCCATGCCCCCCCTGGTACAACTGATACTCATGTAAGGGGCCCCTCAGACTGCCCAGATCCCTCACATGGGTATTGGCTGTACCCCCCCCCCAATGGCGATACATTGTAATGTTCCTATCATAATCCATGTTTCTAATTAAATTAAATAACCGCAAACTGTGTGCAGTTACCCCTGTACCCATCCCACCTACCCCCCTGGACTCAGTGACTCACCCGGTCCAGTCCACTCTGAAGTGCCGCCAGAGATGACAACTTCCCAGTCAGATGGTGTGTAGGGCGCAGGGCATGTGACACATGCACTTGTCCTCTCCCGCCTCCTGTTACTAGGGACGTAGCTGGAGTCGGAGCGAGGATTCACATGACCCCACCCCCTTGCTGAGAAGCCCGTCGGCAGTGCAGGGTCCCTGGGGCCCCAAGATACCTAACCACGAGGATAGAGGACAACAGTAAAGACTTAGCAGGGGTCCAAACCTATTCAACTCCGTAGGAAATTTAAATACGTGTATTGGGTAGAGATCCACTACTGTTGGCTAACTGTTGCGAATTTCTCCCATTTTTTTGATAGTCCCACTTATTAGCAGGGTAATTTTCTTCTATAAAACAGCTTTACCAGGTGTGTCTGCATGTATGAGTGTGTTAGCAAGTCTACTGACAATAAACTCACTATGCACATTACAATCTATGTACAATTCCTTTCAGAATGTACAAAACTACATAATATGAGAACCTACTTAAACTATATAATAAACGTATATCTAATCAGGTAGGTCCTTAAACTACATACTTGATGGGGGATCAAAGGAAAAGGATAGTGTACAGTTTGATTAAAGGCAACAGTGCTGTGAAATAAATGAATAAATCATCATTCTACATACTATCTTACCTTCAGCAACACAGTCATGATCTCCTCTTTGGACAGAAGATTCCAGAAAGGTACCAAGTCTTGTGCTATATCGGATGTCCAATTTAATGGGTTTCTGCAGAGAACACCAGCAGACAGCTGATACAGGGAGACAGACATTTCTGTATATGCTGAAATTAACTAACAAGCCAAGAAGAAGTTCACATACCCATAGTACTGCAGGATGCGGTGTTTAATTTCTTGGTTTTGCTCATGGCTAAGGTCAGAACAGGCCTTCAACTGACTTATTGCTGATGCAATTACATTGTGGATGACATTCCGTATGATACTCGGGGACAAGTGACAGATGAGGCTCCCAAGCATATCTAGCTGATACACATCCACTATAGAACCATTCTGAAAGACAGAAGGATTCCTAATTTATGCCTTTCTGCACTGCTAACCTTCTGACAACATTAGGGTAAGATTAGACTCAGTCATTTATCCTGTATAGTATTCGTGGCTCATTTATGTGGGTGGACAATTACATGTGGGTGGACAATGACATACAAAACATATTTTAAGTTTATGGAATAAAGTCACCAAAAATTATACTGTCATACATCTATCAAAAATATTTAGAATTATACAAGCATTGGGTTCTCTAGGCTCCCCATGGATTTCTTACCAGGCATCGATTCACCTTGTTAATTACAAACTGCTTCTTATTTTCATTTAACAGCAAATGGTTAAGGTCTATCTTTCTCAGGCTAATAATCAGCTTTTTGCAGACAAGAGGGTAAGAGGCAAAGTATTCAGTCCTGAAAAAAAGAAAATAAAGAGATAGATGGTAGGTTCATTATTTTGCACCCAAAGATGCCCTGCATGTGGCTGCATGTATGGATGACTGTACTTAGGACTTTGTACTATTAGGGCCAGTGCACACCTAGGCGACACCCCACCGCGTGGCAATTGTGCAGGATTCCGTACGGATTGCCGTGCGGTCAGGAGTCGCCCAGGTGTGAACCGATCGCGTTGTGGGTGCCATTTTTTTTACAATGGCACCCCAGTCGCGCCGGGCAGATCGCACGGTTTCCCGCCGCGATTTCGCCTGTGCTTCTAAACATGGCTAAAACAGCCGCGCGTTGTGTATCGCAGAAAAAAGGTACACAATTGTACGCGGTGGGGTGTCGCCTAGGTGTGCACTGACCCTAAGACCCCATTCACACTGAGCAATTTGTAGCGCAATCTCCGCTCAAAAATCGCTTAAATATCGCTCAAAAATCGCTCAATGTAGCTTGTCCAATGGATTTCACAGGAGCTGTTCACATCTCACAGCTCAATGTCGCCTGTAGCTTGTAGCTCAAGCTTGTCGCTCGAGCATGACCCATTTTCCTGCGATTTGCCCCAACAGGCTTTGATAGACTGCCAAAAGAAGCGCTGCGAAGCGCGACAAAATGTGCACTGTAGCTCAATGTAGCTCAATGTCGCTCAGCTTAAATCAGCACTTTTTTTGATGTAGCTCAGTGTGAATGGGGTCTAAGGTTGCAGTGAATTTTATAAGTACTGTGTAAACCAAGTCAGCCAGCAGGGCCAACTCTGAATTTCTGACAGGATTACCATTTTTTTTTTTTTGCACTTATCAAACAGATATAACAAAATGCTTTCAATGGTATATTTAGGAGACCAAAAGGAGCAAATAAGAGAAATTCATTGTTGGGGTTTACAGACACTTTAAGCCTTACTGTTGAATGCAAAAACAAAAATTACATTGGCGCAGTGGTTTTCTGTGAAGATGCTTATAAACCCAAGGCCTATCTTTGACATTGCATTTCAGTCAACAGCAGTTGCCCCTTGAGCCCGCAAAAGATCCACATGCGGCACCTAGGGTTGCCATCTGTCCGGGATTCACAAGATGTCAGGCAGGCAGGGGCAACCATGGGGCCCTGGTGTTCCTGCTTGTAAACTACTGTGCAGTTTACACAGGACGTGTCTGCAGGGAGTAGAGGGGCAGCACAGCCACCGGGCAAGTAGTTTTTTTTTTTACATTTAGTCCGGCTTCGGGCAATTGAGGAACCCAGCCTTGTGGCAGCAGAGAGAGTAAATCCGGCCCTGCCTGAGATGGTTTGTTCTCTCTCTCCCCCACCCTTTTTGTCCCCCCAAACATGTTCTCATGGATGAAATTGTAACAGACAAGTTATACTTTGGCCCATTTACCAATTTCTTACCAAGTTCTTCAATGGCTGTCTCTTTCCTGGCTGTCTCTCTCCTGGCTGTCTTTCCCCGCTCTCTCTCCTGGCTGTCTCTCCTCTCTAGCTCCTGGCTAACTTTCATTTGTCTCTCTCCTTGCTGTTTCTCCTCACTCTCTCCCCTGACTGTCTCTCCTCGCTCATCCCCCTGGCTGTCTCTCCTTGTTCTCGCCTGTTTACAATGGCATAGTGGTTAGCGCTTCTGCCTTGCAGCACTAGGGACCCCTGGTTCAAGTACTGGCCAGTTCACTATCTGCAAGGAGTTTGCGTGCTCTCACTGTGCTTGTATGGGTTTCCTCTGGGTACCCCAGTTTCCTCCCGCACTCCAAAGACATGATGTAAGGTTAATTGGCTCCTGTCTAAATTGGCCCCCATATGTATGCGTGTGAGATAGGGACCTTAGATTGTAAGCACCTTGAGGGCGGGAACTGAGGTGAATGTGCAACTATGTATAGCGCTGTGTAAATTGTCATTGCTATATAAATACCAGTAATAAATAAATAAAATAAATATTCTCCCAAACAAAATTTTCACTTGAAGAAGGTGGCATCGTTCTTTTTACTATGCAATAGGCATTGCCCCTACATTTAATAGGCATTGCATAGTGTTACTCTGCCCCTGTCGTGTGCCGCATGGGGGGGTTGGCAGGTAGGGACGGGAGGCCAAGAAAATGTTTGCCCAGGGTCCATTCAATATTGAAGACCGCCCTGTATGTTGCGCTCCTAAATAAAAAGTCCCCGCCATTTTCCCAAATGCACCCAGTAGTGGCAGTATTATCAGCATGCACTGTTCTCTCTGTGGACTACAGAACACCTCCCCTCTAGGACAGAAGGAGCGTTACTGGCAGGATAACCAGATGAAAATACTGAAAAGGAAAATGCCTGAACTAAGAAGAAAACTAATGGATCCACCACATCTAATGGCAAACTTAGCTTTAGAAACGCTTTATAGGTTTATATTAATGTTGCACTTGTGCCACAATTGTCCAAGCAGCCCTGGCCTTATTGATGCATGCAAACTACAGTAAGTGTGCCAACATCATATGACTGGCTGAAAACTTTGTTGTGGGTTAGTCATTTGGAAACTATTGAAGTCAACATATCAGCATTAAAGTCAGGTAACTAGTCTTTCCAAAAGTAAGCCAATAAAGGCCACCTCTTTTTTTTTCTGAGCACATATCTCCTTTAACTGCAGATGTAAAAAAAAAAACCTTGTGGCCTATAACCGCACAGCGGGGTCTAAAAAAAACAGGAGATTTTCAGGTTTTATGGTAATTGTAATTTTCTGCTTTCAAGTGTGATTTTCTGCCTTTGCTTCTCATCTCTCTCTGCTGTCATTCGTTTAATAATGGTGAATTATACTGATGCAAATGAATAATTGGACAAAATGGTTCCATCATTAACAGCTCAGAATAGTATGTGTAATCAACTTAATGAAGAAAGACATCTGGCCATTTTGGGTCTTATAGGGCGATTCATATTAGATGACATAGCCCTACAATCATGGTACAGTCTCATATATGCTTGTTGATAGCCTTATCATGGATGTTCAGCTCTTCACTGCAGCATATTGCATGACCCAGGTGATGGCAATGTGATTCGTTTCTCATTGCAGCAATGATGATCAAAGAAGCAGAATGTTTTTTGCCTAGGGATGAACAAAGCGATGCTTCCTGTCTTTCCATTTGCATAAGCTGCAATGAGCCTATACAACATAATATTTCTGAAACTCTTTGAAGTTGAAAACTCACGGAAGTACAGCTAGCAGGAATGGGGGAATGTCTGCTTTGGAACCCCTCCAGTATTTCCAGGCCAGACAATGAATCTGAAAAATCAGACAAAATGTAAGCTGCAACAAACATATGCATGAAATTAAAGTACTGGCAAACAAGCTGAAGAAAGCCCTGACAAACATTTCATGTTCTCACTTTGGGCTGCTAATTTAACATTTAAGCGATAATAACTTTTGATGTGATTTTGCTTCTTTTTTATGTTAGCATTGTCACATTTTTAATATAATGCTTCATATTCAACATAGATAACCACTAGAGGGGATACTAATACTAAACAGCATCCTTGCTGAACAATTGTTGTAAGAACATGTATAATCAAACCACCTACATAGATCATTAAAATATACCTGTTATGGGAGAAGTATGAGGGTTGCCATTGCTGGTCGCCTCCTAAAAATGGAGTCGCCTGACTGTGTCTGGCTTTAATACTTTTGAGTCACAGCAGAAAAAAACATGTTTTAAACAAGGCCAGAAAAGTATCAAGATTCTCTATGCGTGTTCCAGGTTAGTGACTCAGAAAGCACTGTAGTCAAAGCATCCACCTGACTGCCAAAGAACTAACATTGTTCATAAGAGAGGTCAGCAATGGGAGCCCATAGAATTGTCTCATGACAGGTGTACTTTAATGGGCAGCTCTAGGCAGCTGTTATAGCCAGTCAGTGAACTGTTAAGCTATCCAAAAAATGTGCAGCTGAAATAAAATCAGAATATTTGTGTAACATCAGCTGCTCATGCCTGGTACCCAAATCTAACATGCAAATTGCCACTTACTGGTAATGAAGAATATGCAGGATTCTTTCAATGGCCTAATTTTTTTTCTTACTGAATCCTACCTTTATATATTCCAGACTGCATATCAGCAGATTTGGAAAGGTTGAAATAGTGCTCTCTTAGCATGAAATTTTAATTCTAAAGACAGTGCAATCCATTGACTCTAATATGAATGTTTAACTACCATCTAATGTACATATACTGTATAATTAACAGACATGTCTATCTATATAATATACATACTGTATATACAAATACATAAATATATATGTGTGTGTGTGTGTAGAAGCAGAGACACCGGCACTCCAATATAAACGTGGAAGGTCGTGGGAGCAGTACTGTAGCAAGAAAACGGGCTGCGCTCTGTGATAGAAACCTGCTTTTTATAAGTCTACTCCTATGAAAGTCATGTGAGTGTCTACTGAACCTTTGCTATGCATATAATTAATATATTATTTATATATAATACTCGAAGCTAAAATTTTTTATAAATATATACTTGCCAGCTAAAATGTTTCATTTTTAGCCGGCAGGTAGAACTCTAATCTTCTTTTCACATTTTTGCCAGACTGTCTTACTGAAATGACCTGTTTACAGAGCTCAATAGCTAAAGCTTAAAGTCACATATAAAATAAGAGTCACAGCAATGGCTTACTCCCTCCCTCCTGCTGTGTTCAGATACAGGCACATTAAACAACCTCAGATTTAAAAAAATAAGCTGTTAGAAAAATACATTTTTTATTAATAAAATATGTTAGTCTGGCAAACCCCTGTTATCTGTGATTTTAACGCCTCCTTTTGGATCTTTTATTCCTGGACAATCGGCTGCATGAATCTAATTTTATGTACAATACAATAATATTCAAATCACCAAAAGCAGACAACATGGTTTGATATCTAGTACAGTCCTAAATGTGGATGGCTTTTACTAACTCATTAGTCATTGCAGATTGTTTATTTGGACACTGATAGTGGTGGGAATGCTCGCTGTGTGAATGTAATTAGCTGTGAAAATGAAAAAAAAAATACCTGGGACAAATACCTGGGACATGTCTTAACGGGCATATACCTAAAGGGAGTGTTCTATGTGGCAAACTTCTGGAATTTATGTTGTACTTGATACACAAGTCAAAAATAAGCTGTGCTCATATATCTAGGTCACTTGTGGAGTCCCACCATTTTGACAATGTGTCATATTGAATTGTTGAAACGTCCCAAATGCTGTAGCACTCCTTACCGGAAATCCCAGAAAAGTTAAATGGGTGCTCGAAATGACAGCGGATGGCGCCGCACACAGTAACAACTTTGAATGTAGATGTCACCAGCACACCAGCTGATGAGCCTGATGAAGGGGACTGTGTGGCCCCGAAAGCGCTTGAATATCAGAGTGACATTTCATTAAATGGATTTTCACTGATCCATGTTTTTTTTTGTCGTGCTGGTGACATCTACATTCAATATTGAATTGTTGAACATAACAGAAAATTCAACAACTATTTTGAGAAAAACAAAGGTTTACACATGGCAGCAAAACCTTCAAAAAAAAAATCAGCCAAAAGAATTTCTAAATTTCATGATCGTGGCTGATGGTTGCAGTGCGCTCACTGCTAATATACAGTGTATCAGATGTAGCTATTTGGTAAATAGCTCATATTCAGAGGATATTGGGTTACCAGGAATCAGCAATATAAATAGTAATGCAATTATTTATATAATATATGTAGGCATAAACCATGTCACCTGAAATGGAGAAAGTAAAAGTAGGTTCTTCTCAATGAGCTTGAGGTGGCTGGAATCAATAATGTTGTCTATCTGCTCACAGGTAATACCTTTCACCAACTGTCCTGTACTAGAAAAAAAAGAGTTAGGTAGACTCTCTACCGAAGGCTGTTAAGAGGGAGAAGAGTGTAGGGGAAGGGACAGCAGGAGAAGAGGTGAGGGGACATAAAGGGAGATGAGAGTAGGGTAAGGGAAGAAAAAAAGAGTGGAAAAAGGGAAAATAGGGTAAGGGAGGGAGGGTAGTAGAGCAAAGGAGAGGGGAGGAGGGAAAAGGAGGGGGAGAGGAGTGGAAAATGGAATAGGGGAGGGAAAAGCAGGAAAGGTGAAGGGAAGAGGAGGGCGAGGAGGATGGGAGAGTAGCCTGAAGAAGACTCTAGCAAAATTGCTGCCCTAAGCAAGCAAGGAGGCTTTGTTGTCTGAGAAATTGAAGCAAAGAATGCTAGTCAGTTTATGTGTGCTGCTGTTCCAGACTTGCTACACGATTATTGGTACAATTAACTCTTGGAAATACTGCAATGCTGAATTGTGTACCACATTACCTCAGTAGATTCTCCAGTGTTGTTTTATTAAACATCAACTCAAACAGAAATAGAGCCTGGAAGACAAAAATCAATAATGTTAAATAACTTGACCCGGTCTGAGGGTAGTAGATGGGATAACATTATCTACATACACAACCTTGTCTAGGAGATCTGAAAATCCAGCTTCCATTATACCGTCTACTCACTGTAAGGCTCCATTCACATATAGTGTTTGCGTTTCCCACACGGTTTTCCGTGCAGAAGACCGCACGGCACGAAAATACTAAAATCTTCACAACTGCAAATATATTACTATAGCCGCGAACGTGTGGAATCCTCCCATGGGATCGTGCTTGGACTATTTTGCGGTCCCCGTGGTTTTGTACTGCGCGGCCCCGGCAATAGTCTGAACAATGCACATTATTAGCATGCATTGTTTTTATATTTAGTGCAGTTCCGCGCGTATTTGTACAGCCGAATATGCGCCCAGCAGGGAGGAGAGAAATCACAGATGCACCACTATATGGGCAAACAATTGCACTTTCAGCATTTTGCCAAAAGTGCCATTTTTGTCCGATATGTTTCGGCCGCCAATATATATCGGTGCATCCCTAATTTTGGTAAATCTCAGTCCCGATTTGGGTAACTGTTTTATGGGCTTAAATAGGAGTAACCCCAATAGAATGGTATAAATTCTTCTGGTGCTCAATAGGGATGGGCTACACGTTCGAGTCGAACCTATGTTCGACTCGAACATAGCATGTTCTAACGTTCGCCGAACGCCGAACATTATGGGATGTCCCACAATGCACTGCGCCGTCCGAAACGGTAATTGGCTACAGTCTTGCACAGTACAAATATAGAGCCATGATTGGGCAAAGTCACGATGAACTCAAAGTACACACTGTGTGGGGAACCTTCGACTGACAGCAGCTCCCCTTCACTTGTACATTCTCCCATAGAGGCTCTTTGATAGCATAGTACCAACTTCTGTCATGCTTGGTAAATGTTTTGCAGAGCAAATCTCCCAGTATTACGGCATTACAACACATTACCAACATAAGACACTGCAGTGATCTCTTCTCCTAAGCTGCACCTGAAATATGAAAAAGCCCAGCAGGATCATGAGACCTGATTTTAGATGATTTTATGGTACCGTCACAATTTATTATTTTGAGTAAGCATTTGAACGCACGCACTGAGAATTTATCTGCTGAACAATGTCTTTATCCTGGTCCATTGACTTTGGTTTGAATATAAACATTGTGTTCAAATAAAAAAAATATTTTGCTTCCATTTAGCAGCAACTTACTGACTAATGTGATTTAGCTTTGCATGTGAGGTCATGTATGTACGATAAGATTTGCTGCATGCCATAAAAATGGCTCTTTTGACCCAAAAGAAAAGTGGAACATTTATGAAGTGCATAGTGGTATATCTGTAAAAAATGAAGTTAAGGCAACTGGACTTGCTATATTTTTCTTGAAGATGTTTCACTGGTCATCCAACCAGCTTTCTCAAATTGAATTGAGAAAGCTGTTTGGATGACCAGTGAAACGTCTTCAAGAAAAATACAGCAAGTCCAGTTGCCTTGACTTATTTTTTTTACAGATATACCATGACCTGGATGAATGAGAACCTTCACAGACATATGCATAGTGTTATGATCAGGGCCAGATTTCCCACAAGGCCAACCGAGGCCCGGCCTCGGGGCAGCAGGGAGTAGAGGGGCAGCAGGGGTGTGGAATTCCTATCTCCCGTTTCCTCAAGACATGCAGTTCCAGGCGCCGGCGGGTACTTTTTTTTCTACATTTAGCCCTGCTTTGGGTAAGCAGGGCTAAATGTACAGAGGGGAGGCCGCCGCTTGTTTTGTACAAGTGATCTTGGTGAGATCACTTGTATGCATCCTTCATACAGGGGGGCTCATTGAGGAACCTGGCATTGGGGCAGCAGAGAGAGTAAATCCGGCCCTGGGTATGATCCATTATTATGGCAGATTATGTTTACCTTTCCTTTATATTTATAAACTATTTCTTAAACACAAACCTAGCAGAAGGTCCTTGTTCTATAATCACAAAGGTTACCTAATTTACCCTAATCTGATTTATCTGAAATTTGCTGCAGTCACAGCAAGCAGGACCGTAAGAGTGTATAAAACTTTTTTGACCTCTGTATTTTGCATGACTACTCACATTCAAACTTTCAAGGAAGGATTGAATCTGAGGGGAGACTGAGAAAAATCTTACTAATTAATTTTTAATATCATGCCTTCTGTATTTGTAAGGCAGCAAGTAGGGTATTCAAGCATCACCAGCAGATATGTTCCAGGATCACCAGATCACACACAAAAAGCAAAAAGGTAGACGTGTACACTTCAATAACCTGTAGATGAAAAACTGAAGTATTGAGCTGGTAGGCTGTACTCCTTGTATCGGAATATTGATGTTCTATGAGAAGATGTATTAACAGCAATTCATATCAGTTGGTAAATAACCCCACATTATCACCCTTTCCACAACTATCAGTACATGAAATATGTACAAGAATTTGAATGAGCGAGTTATTGATGGTCTACAGGTTTTAGAATTCGGGGACCTGCATTTTCTACACCAAGAAAAGCCTACAAGATATTTGACTCTTTCTGCGAGTGTTATACAGTTAAAAAAATAGTCACTTACTTGACACAAAATCACATTTCTTATAAAACTACATTAGTGAATTCTTTTAAAGCAAAGAACAATAACTTTGCCCTTCAAGAGATGTTTTATCTTAAGTACCTGGGGAGCTGAAGGCTGTCAAAACCTCTATGACTCCAAACCCAGCTTGAAGAAATGCTGATTGCTGAAGGGCATTTAGGTTAAACACATAATTACCTGACTTGTTCTCATCTCTTTCTCCTTTAGGACTGCAACATCCAAATCCCTTTCTGTGGATAGTTGTGAGAGAGACACGTCTTTAAAGAATGTTCCACTCATTCCTGCCAGAACTGTCTGGAACTCTCCAGAAGACATCAGCTAATTAGGAGAAAAATAGCAAGGACATATGAGCTGTGCCACCGTGATACGCCAAACACATTTCATTCTATTGTTCCTGAGAACAGTATGACTTTTTTTAGGTTGACAACTGTAGGCTATTAACATGCAGCAAAAAAAAGGAAAATCTGAAATCATGTGGATTTTTACAGCTGCTAAGAATGTAGTCTATATAAAACATCTACACTTTATAGTCAATTACTATATGAAATGTACAGTGTATAGCACTATA